CTTTACCTCACATGGGTTAACAAACTGAACTTTACTAAGTATTAAGTAAAGTCAACTTTACCTCACCTATGGGTTAACAAACTGAACTTTACTAAGTATTAAGAAAGTCAACTTTACTTCACCATGGGTTAACAAACTGAGCTTTACTAAGTATTAAAAAAGTCAACTTTACCTCATCATGGGTTAACAAACTGAGCTTTACTAAGTATTAAGAAAGTCAACTTTACCTCGTCATGGGTTAACAAACTGAGCTTTACTAAGTATTAAGAAAGTCAACTTTACCTCATCATGGGTTAAAAACTGAACTTTACTAAGTATTAAGAAAGTCAACTTTACCTCACCATGGGTTAACAAACTGAACTTTACTATGTATTAAGAAAGTCAACTTTACCTCACCATGGGTTAAAAAACTTAACTTTACTATGTATTAAGAAAATCAACTTTACCTTACCATGGGTTAACAAACATGGGTTGAAACTGGATTAGTGAACTTGTAGGATAGAGATAGCTCCTGACGAAGCTGTAATAGCAAAATATTGAGCTAATAAAGATACAGGTCATTATTTTGTTTACCTTAATAGAAATTTCTTGCAATACACTGCAGTTTGCTTTAAACAAAAATAATAATAATCACAGTTTAATTGACTAAATATTCTCCTGTAAAGGTGAAAACGACACTAAATGTAAATTCAACTTTACCTTACCATGGGCTAACAAACTGAAGCTAATATTTTCCTACATAGAAATTGTATTTCCAATTGGTACTTACCTCACATAATAGTTTCTCTTGTTCAGTGCTGCCCTCTATATGCCCAAATATTTTCACTCACCAGTAGCCTTGGAACTCCCACCTACCCCACATACAACATGGTTCTACTGCATCTTCCCATGCAAATATGTATGCAGCAACCCTTCACCGAAAGGAGCAGGATATACTCTCCTGATGTAGGTTACTCCCTCTATACTATTCAGCCTAATCTTCACTATCAGAAATATATTTTCAGTGTAGGAAAGTATTAACTTTTGATACAGTGTCTTATCTCTTCTCACATAATAGCTAGAATCCCATATTGAAAAGATGGAAGGACCTGTGCAAAAGTTACCTAGATGAGCACCCTTCTGAAAGCATCCAAACAATGACCATGGAGTATGACCTCTGTTGAGAGAGGAACACACCCATGTGAGACTGCACCACATCTATACCAGATATACTCTTTACCCAATGAGTAAGTGTTGCAGAACTAGACAGAAATTAGTTGGAGCACATTCAGTAATGTATACATGTTGGTTGGTCCAGCTCAACCCAACACAAACACCTGGGAATCATTATGGAGGATGGAGGATGGAGGGTTCCCAACCAAATAAAGTAATGGTGGGGAAAATTAAATGGATGTGCCCCAACTCCAGTCCAAAACTAGGCTGCATCGGGTATCTATCATCCCTTTTGCAGTAGGAGGAGGGTCTCTACCATCTTCACCTCAAGCCTATGAAACAGGAGGGAAGATGTTCCATTCCATCTTATAAGACAGGGCCTATGTGTGTAAATCTTCAACCAACACCAGTCACTTGGGAACCTGACATCTGAATGACAGTAGGAATGGAAGTGCCCATGTGGTGGTTCACTCAAATCCAAAATCAACTGGACTTTTCCTAGTACAACTCCATGTGCTACCAGAACATACGAGCTGAACACACAAGTGATACTCCAGGGGTAACCCAGCCAACTAGAATACCTGTCAGTCAGTCCAGCTCCTTGCAATACCAAACTCCCAAGCCTCAGCTTGATGGAGGAGGCATGCTAGGGATATCCCAACCAACTAGTACATCATATCTGTAGTAGGACGAGGGCACCCTGCCAACACATGTGTGAGGACTTATGTTGGCTGGTCCAGCTCTAATCCAAAATCTATTGTTCAGGAACAGATATCCAGGCTATGATAGGATGAGGGGCCCTGTCTGGAGGGGTGAACTGCATTATGACAGATCTACTACAGTTTCTGATTCTATGGGAGGATCTACACCATCTACACTGGCAGAATACCACCACCCTATTCTCTACTGAATAGAATTGAACACATTCAGGAGGAAGCCTCCATGGTCCACCACCCCAGTGGTTAGGAAATGTTAAGTGGTAAGGACCTTGGTGACTAAAAAGCTCCATCGACCATAGATGAAGGGGAGAAAGTTGGGACTGACTGAGGTAGGAGTTGAAAAATTCTCCCAAATGGATGAGATATTCGGTAGGTACAAGGAAGGACTTTTCCAGGTTAATGATCCAACCCACACAAGACGCTTCTCTCAGAAGCAACTGTGTGTGTTAATGTGCTACATTTTCTGATGGAGCCAAAAGGAGCCAGTCATCCACATAATGATGTAAGTGCAAGCCCTGAGCATGGAGTAGTCATGCAAAAGCCCTGAACCCTCAACAAAACAAATAAGGTGCCATGGCCAGCACAAAGGACAATGCAGAAACTGATAAACCTGTCCCATTTGAATGCACTGAAGATACTGTCTGGACTGTGGGGCAATGGGGATGTGGAGGTAAGCATCTGAGACATATACTTTGATCATTCACAGACTTGGAGTGAATGCCCTCCATAGAGTGGGAAAATATTCCTTGATAAAACAGGGAAAATCTATGAAATGGTTGAGCTGAGACAAATCTATCACTGTATGTCAGTCCCATGTCTTTTTGGGAACTACAGATAACCTGGAGAGGTTTGACTAACTGTTGCTATAGTGTCTTAGAGCAGAAGAGTCTGGACTACCTCGGATAGATGCTGGCATGTTTTGGGATCCTGGGGAGGAGGAAATGACACCAAAACTGGTAACAACAGAGGGGGGTGGGAAGGAAATGGATGAAAAATCCTTCAAACAGCACCTGAAGAATCCAAAGATTGGAAATGAATCCCACCATAAGTGAACAAACCTAGACAGGCATGCACCTACTCTGCCAGAACCTACCTATTAGCCACTGATACCATTGGCAGCATGTGGTGATAAATATGACCCCTGGAGAGAGGAACAGGTAAAGGTTGGGAAGGAGTGGGATAGGAAACAGGAGAGGGAGCTGGGTAGGTGAAGGCTGAGACAACCTGGAAACCAAAGAAGAAATGGAGTAATGTTGTTGCACACACTCCACCCATAACTCCAGAAACTCAGAGATGTCTCCAAAATGAGATCTGCATAAAAACAGTGACATCTGAGGTCGTGCAGATAGATAATGGGTGGGCACATCTGAGACACAAGTGTGTCCGTACCTAGGAGATCCCAGTAGCAGAGGAACCATGTTTAGAGGAAAGGGACGTGAAGCATTTGAGGTATTTTAAGGCATTTTATATTAATTTCAAATGCTTCAAGCAAGGAATATTATAATTATATAAAATTTTCATGTATGATACACATACATGTAATACGAAGAAAAATTAAGCACAGCTAATGAATGCATATAAGAAGTTACACAGTGATGCTTGACCATGAAAGAAAATATATACATGTCAAGTATAAACTAAGATGCAATCCAGACGATATTGAGAATCAACTGTTTACATTATCTATAAACTGACACCACCATAGCAGAGAGAAAGGTATGAGAAAAGTTTATATTAACTTGGACACAACTTCCATAAAAGAGATGAGATGGAACTTTGATGTGAAGAAGACAAGGAGAGATACAGGCAAACAGGCTACCAATTTACTATCTTTGAACATGACAAATTATTGAAGTATTTTGGTTTTTGGTTTCGAGAATTACGATGAGTTTGCAAAAATCATCCAATTAAGTGCTAGATTTACTTGCAGGTTAGATGTGTACACTATTTGGTAAGTCGTAAAAATACTAAAAAAAATTTGTTTAAAAACCCATGTTTTGGGGCTAAAAATCAGTCTCCTGACCCAAAGTAAGGAAGCCATTGGACCTGCTGTCAAGTGTGAGGCTGGCCCAACTATACCTGAAACCATACAGAAAGTATCCAATGTTTCCTGCTCAAATCTTATGTAAGTAACTATTACTATCTCTCTCTCTTACAATCAAATAATGTAGTTAGAATTTGAATGTATGATGAATTAATGAAGTTATGTCTGAGCAGATTTCATTCAGTGTATTAATAGATAACTTACTGGTAGTGTTAAGTAATTAATGGATGTTACAGAAAGTTTAATTGAAGAACAGTTACCAGCTCAAGTTGAATAGTTTTGATAGCAACATGTTTCAATATACCTTTGGTAATTTTGATGTAGCTTAGTATCTTGATAGAGTCCATTAAAGTGTTGTATTTTGAATCTCAGTCTCTGAGTCAATTCTTAATTCTAACTGTAAACTTCCTTGAGTTAGTGACTTGTGTACTTCACTCACGACTGTATATCTGGATTTAAAGTCAAACTCCAAATGACTAGCAATGTGGAAAATATGAGGGTGTGGTTCTCCTCTTAAAAACCCCACAGGGGATCAGCAGATAGCCTCAGCTAGGAGGTGCATAGTAAACAGGTACCAAAGGATAGAGGTTAGGGTCAGCTGGAGTGTGGAAAATTGAGCCTAGGAGAACTTAACCAGAGAATCAAGGTTGTCCCCCACACACACTTGCATCAAAGACCGCAACTGATGTAAGTCTAGAAAAGGAAAGTCTGCATGGTAATAGCAAAAAGATCCTAAGATCTAGGGGGACGAGACATGTTGAATCCTGCACATGATTGTACATGGAACTGGTCAGCATGAACCCTGATATCCATAGAGGAGGAAAAAACAAGATATTCTGATGAAGGAGCCACATGTAAAAGGGAAGGTGCAGGGTCATATGAGACTGGTGACACAGACAGAACATATCTGTGAAATCATGTTCAAAAAGGCTGAGGGAGGCCTGTCAGCATCCACAGGTGACACAAAGAATTGCACAGCATAGGCTGGGGGGGGGGGGGATCCTTGTCGTCAAGACCAAGTTCTTCCAGAAATGGGAAATCTTGTCCACGTTCAAGCTCCCATCAAACTAAGACTGAGACCTCCTCAGCCAAAAGTATAGAACCTGAAGCCTGAGAAATGACATTTGAAGTAGTAGTAGTTATGCTACTAGTAGTTGTGACACAAAATTCCAAACTCATGATTCAACTTAGATCAATTCACCAAATTAAATAGTAAAGAAAAAACACAACAATAGAGTTAAGTTTACTCCAAGTCAAGTTGTAATTGAAATGCTGAACTATTTCAAATTACTACTTCAAAAAGCAATACAAAAAATTAAGCAAGTTCAAATGTAAAAAAAACAAAAAACTAGCAAAATTGAAGAAAGTTTGAACATGAAAGTGCCTAAACAAGAAGTGAAGGTTACACTGAATAGTATAGAGGGAGTAACCAGTGTCAGGAGAGTATAACACACTCCTATTGGTGGAGTGTTGCCACATTCTTATTTGCATGAGAAGAACCACACTGAACATGGGGTAGATGGGAGTTTCAAAGCTAGTGGCAAGCAAACAAGTTTTTTGTATTAAGAGGACAGCACTGAACTATGTGAGCAGAAGTAGGATGCT